GAGCTGCCGAGTGGAGTTTGGATATCTTTTTATGGAACTAACAGTTGCTCCCGGTGTTCAGAGAGCTAGGATACTTATGATGCTTTCAGACATTTTTACTTTGAAGTTACTTTGGAATTGCAAAACATCTTCCTGTCTCTGCCAGATAGTGTTTCCTCAGGCGCTTTTGTCATGCAAGAAAATTATGAAGGAAAATTTGGAAAAGATTTCAACCCAAGGCAGGAGAGTCTTTCAGAAACATTTCCCTTCCTGATGTCACTGGGCTACAGGCCATGGTGGCCAGGAATGCAGTATTTCTGTTCTGGAGTAGACAGTGAGACGGTCGGTATCAGGAAAAAATGTGCACAATGTGTAACGGTAAGATGTCATGCACCGGGAAGGGGGGTGCAACCCTCTAATCTGTGCTTAGAAGCTTTAGGCAGGAGGATCCCTGAGCACTCAAGGACAGCCTGGGCTGCACAGTGATCGTAAGGCCAGTCTACTGAACTAGGTAGTGAAATCGTGTCTCAGAAAACAAATAGAAAAACAAAAGATTGTGCTCTGTGAGATCGCTTTAGATCTGAGACCTAACAAAGAATGATGAATGAGGGGCTGGTGAGATGGCTCAGTGGTCTAAAGCACCTACTTAGAACAAGCTAAAGCAAAGGGACTGCGGTTCAATCCCCCCCCCGCCACAAAATAAAAAATAAAAAAAAAAAGAATGATGAATGTATTGTTCATTGAAGTCTTTCTTGAACTCGCAGTGTATACTATTTTTGGCCCTGGACCTTTGTTTCTCAACCCTGATAATTCTAAATACTTGCCTAAATGGTGAATGTAAATGTGATTTGATTTGCTACTCAGTAAAAAAGAAAAATTGTTAAACTAACTAAATAAATACCTAGATTAAATCTTACTCTTCAGCCTGGAGTGGTGGTATGTAACCCCAGCACTGGGGAGGCTGAGGCAGGAGAATCGCTGTGGGTTCGAGACCAGTCTGAGCTCCAGGAACTGAGCAGTTAAAACAGTGCCCAGGCGAGCAGGTCCTTAGAGCCCCGCCCACGGTGCTGTGCGGGTGTTCAGCGAGCCTTGCTGGTGAGCAGACGAAATCAGAGGAGGGCTGGGGCCAGAGTTCACTGTGGGCCCGCAGGCAGTCTGAGCTGGATCTGTAGCTCCACAGCTCTGGGAAGGGGACCAGGATAAGCTGAGGTTGACGTGTCTGACTGCAGCGCCATCTCCCGGAAGCAACCACCAAGTCTTACCCTGTCGGCTCAGCAGCAGTGGCGCCCTTATGCTGTAGCTGCTTATCCGTGTCTGCTGGCGCTGTCCCTCAAAGACGTGAGGAGGGTCCACAGAACCTGCCAGAGGTGATCTGAACCTACGAGGCGGGCCCCAGGGCGTTATAGGACCCCCCAGGACACCCCAGGCACCTGTGGTTCAGCTGAACCTTGCAGTGGTGATGGGGCTAGGCAAAAGGCTCTCTCACCACATTCCTCCTTGTGGCCAGCAGGGGGCAGCCTTTTACATGCCCAGAATATTCGCACACTGGGTCTAAGTTCCAGGCCGGAGTGGGGCCACACTCTGGGCAAGAGTGACCTTTGGAACTTATTCAGAAGCACCCTTCAGGGTTAGGTGGGGCTGCAGACAACCCCAGCTTCCTGGGTGAGAAGCCCTGGTAGGTGACTAGGGCAGTAAGGACCTCAGTGTAGGGGACATCAGAGGCCCAGGAGCCTCATTCTGGAATCAGGTAGCCACCCCTGGCCAGAGACTCAGGTCACCAGGATACAGACAAGAAGACAGGTCCTGAGACAGGCCCCAGAGGCCACACAGCACTAACAGCACAGCTGGCCAAGTTTTTCTGTCTCTGATTCCTGAGCCTCAACTGCTGAAGAGCAGCAGAACTGCCTCCTTGGCTGAGGTCCAGTACACGGTCCTGTCAACATATTCTGCCATAGAAGAAGCTCCCTTGGATACCCTGGAGACAGCTGCCCTTTGCTGGTGCCCCCGGTAGGCCTCTACTCTTATGAGGGTGCTGCATCACAGGACACCTGGGAGAAGATGGCAAGGCTGCTAGAAGGACCTCAGGCCAGCAAACCCTACTCCTGCTGCACGGCGTCAGGGTTAGGACTATAAATTCATGCTATTTCTTTTGGTGGAACCGGGGATTGAACTCAGGCCCTTGTGCTTGCCAGGCAAGCACTTACTCTACTGAGCCATCTCCCCAGCCCCGGAGGTGTGAAGCTTTTAAGCAAACATAGCATACTCAACTTGTTTTAATAAGAAATGCTTTAAATTTTACCTTACAAGCCTAGGTTTTCATTTTTCCCCCTGGGATTTCATTTTTAAAAGTGTGAAAGAATTTAACATCGCTGACTGATTCTATGATTTTGGCTATATCAGCTGGTATGTGGTGTAAATGTGTCTGTGAAAGTTTCCTTGAAAGATTTGTAGATCTGTGCTGCTAGATGTTTGAACCACTCAGCAGACTTAGGTGGATGCATTTACAGTAAAGTTTGCAATACCTTGGGGATTTAATTAATCAAGCTCTTCATGTTTGTGAAATATCTAAAAAGTTTAGCGATATAATGTATTGAACATATAAGCTAATGGAAGATTAAAAATAAGTGAAATTGTATTTTCATATTAACACAAAAAGTAATAGACTTATGGATAGGATTTTAAGTTGTGTTTGCAAGATTGAGAAAAGCTGTTTTCTAAGTTTATATTATAAAACATTTTTAGCACAGCAATACTACATCTAGGAATTTACCATGAAGGTGTATCTCCAACAAGAAAAAATACACGTGCATAAATTAGTTGTGACCAGATCCCTTATGGTCCTCCACCCACGGAGCTCTTTGCAGCCATGCAGAGAATGAAAGTCTCTGTTATCTAGTATGTAGCTTTTTGACACTATTTTATGAAGCCAGTAAATTGCTCGGGTCAAGTTTGAACTTGCAATCCTCCTGCCACAGCCTCCTAGGCTGCTTGGATCACAGGCATGTGCCACCATGTCCAGCTGGCGTGTGTTTCCCTCTTCCCAGTCCTTTGGGACAGTTGTATTTTAGGGCATGACATGTACCTGATTCTGGAGTTACAACAAAGCCAATTAATATTTTTAGTTAGATGTGTCATTATTTTGTCTTTTGACTTAAGTAAAGTGCCTCCCTGAATTCTGTGATTCCCTCTAGGGAATTACCAGGCCCCATGAGAGGTCTTGGAGCACTTGACGTTGTAGCCAGGTTGGACGAGAGAACAGGAGGCTGGGAGGCCTGAGCTTGTGTCCCGTGAGGGAGGGTGTCTCGAGGAGTTGAGCCGTTGACTGTGGCTCTGGACTGACACCAGTGGTACAAACAATAAATTCAAGACGCCGGCTGGTGCTGAAGAATTAGTTGTTGTTGTAAAAATCTCCTCAGTGAAAATGTAAAGAGGAAAAATAAGTGAATGTGCATCTGCTTACTTTGGCAAAAAAGCAAGAAAAGCCAAACTAAAACTCATAAAACTGACTTCCTTCAATGGGTGGGGATGGAGTGGGAGGGGATGTCTTACCTGAGGAACCTTTTTGTATAGTTTCATCTTTTGGAATCATGTAAAATATAGAATAAAAATCAGCAAATGTGAGCATGTCTAAAATGAAGCACAAACAGTAATCAACCTCTAATTACATATCAAATCAATAATGTAACTACACTACTGTGGAAAAAAGAACTAACCCAAGTGACCTTTGAGCTTGTGCTTAGAGTGTGCGCCTTCAGATCAAACACTTAAAAGAAAACTCCAGGCAAATAAATAAGTCTAGTGTGCTGGCTGGTTTTTTTTTTTTATATTGTGATTTGGGTTACTAATTCAAATATAATCTGGGACTGAGCCTGTAAATGTAGGAAGGGTAACAGCAACCAGCTCCTTCCTGTTGGAGAAGGGATTTCTAACTATGGAAAAGAAGTCCGGAACAAATCCTGAGGTTCTGCGTTACATTGGAAGTGTCACATGAACTCATGGAGATTTTACATGTGTGTTCACGCCTGTGTGTGCATGGAAAAGAAGGGACATGGTGTGTGTGTGTGTGTGTGTGTGTGTGTGTGTGTGCATGCACGCATGTGTGCGCATGCATTTCTTCCAGCTGTACCCACTGAATGCCTAGAAGGAAGGTGGACCCCCAGAGCCCAGGCTGTGGCTGGTTCCCAGCACCGTGGAGATGGTCCTCAGTTTCCTTCCGAGTCCAGCTCCACCTGGGGTAGAGGAGGCTCCCCCAGGGAGTTGGACCAGGTGTCGAACTCCTCACACTCCAGGCAGGGTACCTAGTAACACTGGTTCTTCCTGCTCAGAGCTGCTTCCTCTGGCCCCTGAGCAACCCAGGTTCTGTCGTGGTCCTAACTCCTCAACCTGGAGATTCCCTGGTAGCTCCTTGGAGCTGATGTCGATGTCCATGTCCCTGTCCCCCAGCTCCAGAGACGTGAACCTTGGTGCTGGCGTGTGTTTGCACTAGCCAGTTTGCAGGAGCTGCTAGCTGCGTCTCCAAGGCTCCAGTCCTCGCGCAGGCACAGCATCCTTGCATTTCTTCATGAGGTCATTCATGCCTATGAGTGACTTGTCTGGACCCAGGAACCGGGAGTAAGTGTTGCCCAGGCCCAGAAGCCCACAGTAGGAGCCTGATGCTCCTGAGGAACGGGAGGGCCACAGCAGCCAGGCTCACCTCCAGGCAGATGGTTGGGGCTGCAGCAAAATGTAGGGCTGGCTAGTAGTCAGGGACAATCGGAGACTCCCGGGTCCCTTGGGTGGTGTGAGCACCTTCCCTTGTGGCCATCAGGGCAGCTGGCCGATGACAAGGCCCTGTCCATGTAAGGAAGCTGCCCTCAGGTTCAGGGGCACAGGGGCCAGGCACCTTCTCATTCGCGCAGATCCCTGCGCTTGAGTGTGAGGAGTGGGATCCATCAAGAGTCCCTCTGGGCCCACGGGTAGGCAGAAAAACAGGCTGGCCAAAGTGGACAAGGACTCCAGGAGAAATGAAGGCCCAGGTAGACATGAGTTTTTACTTACAGAAAAGCAACAAAGCTAGAGGGGAGGCTTCAGCGAGGTGTCTGGGGGAAGGAGCACAAACACAAGGTAGGAGAGCATCAGGCGGCTCACGGGTCACAGGAGCCTGCAGGGGGTGCTGCAAGATAGAGGGGCAGGGGCTGATAGCAGGTGGGCTGGTCCTGGCATCTAAGAACCATCCCCAGCATCTCCTCCATCACTTAATCTGGGCAGAAAGAGGAGCTGGGAGGCCCTCCATTTCTCCCAGCCCTATCTGCTTGTCCTCCCTTGGTAGAGGACCCCCCAGTCCTCTACCCTAACCCTGCTTGGTCCTTGAGACCCAGCTGGCTATGCTCCTCCCCTCCCTTTCCTTGGACTCATTCTGCCCCTGAGGCCTCAACCCACCCCCAGGCCAGCTTCCCCATAAGTGCTCAGAGGTGGGGTGGCAGGTGGGGGTGGCAGGTGGGAGAGAACAAGCCCTTATGTCATGCTCTGGTCTCAAGGTCCTGCATAGGAAACAGCAAGGAGAGGACCCCTGGCTCAGAAAAGGCAGCAGGAGGCCCAGAGAGGCTCAGTATTACTAGGCTCACCTACCCCAGCCTGGCTGCAGGGCACACAGCGGTCACTTGGTTACTGAGGGGCCGGTGGCGGTGCACTGGCTGTAGCCTTCTGCACATCTTCTTTCTCACCCTTGACGGAGGGCTTCCCGGGTTGCTCTGTGGCTTCCACAGCAGCTGTGGCAGTTGTGGCTGCCCCAGACTGGGCAGGCCCCTTGTGTGCTTCCTTGACATGTCGGTAGCTGTCCGCCCAGGGCATGGGCATCTCAGTGCCATGCTTGCGGCTTAGGGGGTAGGCCCCGATGGCCGCCAGGATGCCGCGGTGGCGCTCGGGGTCCATCTCTGTATAATACATCTCCAGGGTCAAAGGTGTGCAAATCTTGTGCTGTGGAAGCAGGGTCACATCAGCAGGCCCACAAGGCCGAGGGGAAAGGGCAGAGGGGGCTTAATTTCCAACTGATGAAGGCCAGGGCTCCAAGACAGAACCCTAGGCTCAGTGTGGAGCCAAAGGCCCGGGTAGCTCTTTGTGAAGGAGAGAGGCTCCCAGCAAGAGCATGCTTGGGACAGTTGTCTGGAGGTTGTGGGAGAATTGGGGTGATCTCTACTATCCCTTGCCCAGGCCATGGGCCCTACCACCTTACCCGAAGCAGAAAGCCATCAGGGCAACTGAACTGGTCGTACCAGATGGCCTTGTACATGATGAGAACACAGCCCAGGAGAGCCATGACAAAGGCAATCATCCTGGCTGTGGGCACCTGAGAGAGGGAAAGAAGAGACACTTGGTTGTTGGTGCAGGAACACAGCCCCCAAGTCCTGGTGCCTTCTCATAGGTCAGCCCCAGGGCCAAGGGTCCAGAAGCCACGCCACAGGATCGAAGCCTTGCTGAGCCCCTCCACTGGGATTCTAGAAGCATCTGCTATCAGGAAAAGTACATATGGTCTTTGACCCAGAAGGTGCTTATAGGAATTTGTCCAGCCCAGATGACACCTGCAAAGACTGCTGGCCAGCATGGTGCAGGGTCCTGGATGCCAGGAGCCATCCCCAGCGGTCCCAGTGAGGAGTGTTCACTCCTACCGGCCCTGGGTGGGCTCATGGGAAGCACAGCAAGGCCCAGGGCTTCTTGATGGCATTCCCACTGAAGAAGCCAAGGGCTTGACGGAAGAAAGGTAGACACTACTTCTGAAAAAATGAAATGCTTTAGGAAATAGTCTACTAAAAATGACTAAAGCCATTATTGACAAGCTTAAGAGATTAAAATTTAAGAGGGGGGCCAGGGAGATGGCTCAGTAGAATAAGCACTTCCCTGGCAAGTGCAAGAGTCTGAGTTCAATCCCTGGTTCCAAAAAAAAGAGATTAAAAGATGACATGAGATATCTGGTGGCTACGCTGCAGAAAAAGCAAGGCCTACATTACTTAGCCTGCAAGTCCATAAAGGAAAGACAAAGACTTACTGGGGGAAACTGGTACTTCTGGGGAAAGGCATGGTATGACAGGGGCACAAGAGCTCAGAACTCGCCAGCAACTGGGCTGGGTTGGCAGCTGCAGATCAGCCAGTGCTGGAAGTGGGCTGATCCCCGCCCAGCCTTCCTCTCTGGGACTCAAGGAGGACTGGACCTGGCTTGAGCTTGTGCTACCCCCGCACTTTCTCCCCGTGTTCTGACTCCCCGCAGGAGCAGGTGGGTACAGTTACCCTGCGCCCTTCCTCTGGGTGGTTGCAGTTCAGCTTCTGCCCTTCCAGCTCTGGGCACTTTTTTGACTGGTCCAGGGAGGACAGCTGGTATTCAGTCTGCGTCTTGATGACCACCTACAGAAAGAGATGGCCACAGTCTCTTTGAGCAGCTGACGAGGACCCAGGAGAGCCCTGAACTAAGCGAGTTGGACCAGAGTCCACTGCGTGGGAGTGGGGCGCATGCTGACCATCTGCCAGGACTATCTGATGGCCAGCAGAGTCCCAGTAGCTACAAGATGAAGCCAAAAGAGGTTGAGCGACGTGAACCTGCTGGGAGCCATGATCATCTGGGGCCTGGCCACGCTGCTGGAGCCTCTTACTCTGCCCGCTGCCTTCTTCTCTGAGGGGTTGGCTTTCCCTGCCATGAACTTCTCTTTTGGTGACTCTGCAGCTCGGCCCCTTTTTCCAAGAAGTCTACTCCCACTTCTCCGCTGGCTCTGAGAGTCTTGGGGGCCTTACTGCAGGAGGTGCATATGGAGGCAGTTCTAAGCTCTGAGCTCTGTGTGCTCTCAAGGGGCCAAACATGGGCCTTCTCACAGCACCCACTGCTGTGGTAGATGTAGCCAAAGTACACTCTGCAGCCAGAGAGATACCCAGGCCCCCAGGGGTGGCAGGCCTGGCAGTGCCACGCGCACAAATCACCACCTTGCCATCCAGCTAGGACAGTTTCCAGTGTCCTTCAGACCCAGAGCCTTAGGGAGCACAGGCTGGGCTGGGCTTGCGTCGGGCTCTTTGCTTCTCACCTACTTTTGCAGGAAGCCCGCTCTCTACCAGTCACTTGTCCAAGTCCTCCAGCTCTAGCCTGACCATGCTTGGCAGGGAAATGGTGGAGCTGTGGCTTCCTGATCCCCTCTGACTGTATCGTGGATGTGGACTCAAATTTCCAGGCATTCTGTGGCCAACTTCCCTGTTTCAGATGGAAAGAGGAGCTCTGGATACAAAGGAGCTGAGTCGGAGGTTTAGCCTTGCCTAGGTCCACTGGGGCTTCAGCCCAGCCTGGCCTTTATCCATTGTGCCTTGGGGGAGGAACATGCAGTGAGCCTCAGCCACACCCCTTGTTCCTAGGCAACAGGGAGAAAGTCCCCCATGCAGGCCTAGGTTGCTCACCTGGTCAGGAAATGGTGGCTGCAGCTGGCTGACATCCAGAGGGCTGATTAGAGGAACACTGTCCGCAGAAGTCCCATCTTGGTCCCCAGAGTCTTTTCCTGGCTTCCCAGAGAAGCTGCAGCCCAGCTTCACCATGGTGGGTGGTGGCCCTCCTCCTGGTCCAGAGACAGAGACAGGGTCACTGCCCACTGCCCACCCAATGGACATCCGTGTCAGCTGGCACTGGAGGAGCAGAATTCGAGGCTGGTCCCAGTGCCCATTGTACCACAGCCAGGACCAGGTCAGGCCAACCTCAGCCAAACAGGAAGAATTCAAGCAAAGACTTCCATCCCTTTTTGACCAGCTGAGCCAAGAATGCCTGCTTTCACCCCAGGGCAACCTTTTAGAGAAAAATGAATGCTGCAGATGACCTCCAAGCTGATGATGGGCAAAGTAGAAAAGTAAAATACATTCAATAATTAGAAAAAGAAAGATCCTGTGTCTGCTAAAACCTTGACTCTGTCACTAAAAGCTTCTCACAAACAACTCCAATCCCAGAGAACATCCCTGCCTATCTTCCAGTCAATTAACAGTAAACAACACAAGCACCACAAAAATTCTCCCAGAGAAGAGAATAAGGGAATACCTGCTGGCTCCAGAGGCCTACAGGAGCCTTCACCTAACAGCCTCACAAGGACCACAAGAAGCAAGAATTAGGGCTGGGGAGATGGCTCAGTAGAATAAGCGCTTCTCTGGCAAGCGCAAGGGCCTGAGTTCAATCCCCGGTTCCACAAAAAAATAAAAAGAAGCAAGAATTATAGACATCAACACAAAGGCCCCAAATGAAATTTAAGGAAGCTAAATCGAACAAGATAGAAAAAAAAAAAAAAAAAAAAAAAAAAAAAAAAAAAAAAACCCAGTAACCACATCGTGAGGATGTCTTTTGAATTTGAAAATTGTTTTAACATTTTAAAAGCAGTAGTATCTTCACTATGTTAAAAATAGTGAAAAAATCATCTGATCAGTTCCAATAGGAGCTGAAAAGTTACTTGTTAAGATTTGACATTCACTTACTATTTTTAAAGCCCCCCTGGGCTCATTAAAGCAAGCAAGCAAGTTCTCTAACCTTATAATAGTTATCGTGAAAAACCCTACAGCAAGGCATATTGAAAGTGAATATTCTTGCCTTCGAGATGAAGAAGGAGACCTGTCCTGGGCCAGGCCAGCTCTACAAAACAAGGAGCTGGAGGTCTCGGCCAATGTAGCTGAATAGGGCAAAGAAATAAGACCCAAGGGCAGCGCAAATTAAGTGACACTATCATTAATCATGGATGAAAACATTTTATGTGTAGAAAATAAAAAAAAACTACTTCAAATAAATCATAAGGATCGAAAGTGAACCCACTGAGGTCACTGGTTACATTTGTTTATGTTAGTGGAAAAAAACAGGGGGAAAAATGACTTTGGAGATCTCCATGCTTAGTAACTCCCCAAATTTCTGTAGAATCAGTACATCCCAATCAAAATTCCAATAGGTTTTTGTTTTTAGTGAACTTGACAAATGTTGAAATTTTATGGGAAGGGCAGAGGGAGGAACATACAGACATCGTTTTTGTTTTTTTTTTTTTTTTTTTTTTTCAGAACTGGGGATTGAACTCAGGCCCTTGCGCTTGCCAGGGAAGCGCTTATTCCACTGAGCCATCTCCCCGGCCCCCAGACATCTTGATGAAGATCAAGGGAAGGTCTCTATCAGGTGTCTGCTTTGTACGTAGCAGTAGAAGCCGAGTGGCACTGATGTGTGGCACTCAGACCCCTGTGGCACTCTACACACATAGATGCTGTTTACGGTGGAGATACCTCTGCATGACTCTTGATAAACCAATGTCCACCTGGAAACAGCGGAGCTGATCCCTACCTCACGCCTGTGCAGAAAGCTGCTCTTGGCGCTTACACACGGAAGAGCCAAACAATTAAGCATCTCAGAGATAATATGGAAGGAGATTTTCCTGGTCTCAGGAGGGAAAGATTTCTTCAATAGGAGAAAAAAGCATTACTCCTAAAAGGAAATATTGATAAAATATCTACACTTTGGGACCAGGGAGATGGCTCAGTAGAATAAGCGCTTCCCTGGCAAACGCAAGGGCCTGAGTTCAATGCCCGGTTACACACACACACACACACACACACACACACACACACACCCCACACACATTATATATATGTATATATATACTGAAATTATAAATTTGTGTTTATTAAAGCATAGCCTTCACTAAGTGTGGTGGTAAATGCCTGTAATCGCAGCCCTCTGGGAGGTTCAGGTATGAGGGTTAAAAATCCAAGACCAGCAATTTTGGAAGATTGTGTTTATTAAAGTGTTTATTAAAGCATAGCCTTCACTAAGTGTGGTGGTAAATACCTGTAATCGCAGCCCTCTGGGAGGTTCAGGTATGAGGGTTAAAAATCCAAGACCAGCAATTTTGGAAGAATGTGTCTCAAAATAAAATAAATAAATAAAAAATGGACTGGTGCTAAAGCTCAGTGTGAAGGCCCTGGGTTTGATCTCCAGTGCCACAAAACAAAACAAAACAAACACAGTCTTTAAAGAGTGGATACCAAAAACAGTTTTGGAAGATATTTGCAACACAACTAACAAAGGGCTTGCTCTGCATTGATGTCAGACAAACACCCACCCCCCAAAAAACTCCAACAAGTTCTAACCCCTGGTATTTGCAAAAGTGACTTTATTTGTACATAAAGTCTCTGCCGATGTAACCAATTTAACATGTCCTACTGGCTTAGGGTGGGTCCTACACCAATGGCTGTCTCCTAAGAAGGAGACCTGGATGCAGGGAGTATGTCTTGTGCAGAGGGACGCACAGACCACTGAGGCACCTGCAGTCCATGCAATGCCCAGGACCACCAGAAGCTGGAGGAAGCAAAGACAGACTCTTATTTTGAGCCTTTGGAGGGAGTATAGATCTGCTGAAACCTTGATTTTTGATTTTTTGGCTCCAGAATTGTAAAAGAATAAATTAATTTTGTTTCAATCCACCCAGTTGTGGTCATTTGTGACACAGCCCTCACAAAGCCAGGTGCCCTCTAGATCTGCAGGGGACTACTGCTTCTCACCCTGCAGTGGCCCGGGCTCTCAGGTGTGACTACACATGCATAGCTGACAACAGTAGGCTGGGGATTTAGCTCAGTGAGTGGCACAGTCCTTGCCTGGCAACAGTATCATGGTGTCCCACTTAAGAGACCAATAGCCTAGGCTCCAGAGGCACGCGCTCCTGACTCGAGGTGAGAGTCCCTTCCATATGTGTTTACCCAAAGTGACGCTGTGCCTGACACTGCCCTTCCAGAAGCGATCAGGCAGAGTCCCCCTCCCACCGCAGCTGGGAGGCTCTTCTACAGGTGGGCTAGAGCCTGGGGAGGGAGCTGGTCCTTTGCCTTCGCCAGAGGCTGGCGGGCAACCTAGGGCTAATGGAATGAAAATTCACTGCGCGTCATCCTTGGCGCAGATCACGCGGCTTTCTGGACGCAGGGTGCAAAAGTAGCTGCGTGGAGGCAGAGAAGAAAAATAGTAATAGAAAATAAGCATGAACCGCCTAGTGATCGCTCACAGGCGATTGGACAGGGAAAGTGGGCGAGGGTCGCGGACCCGATGCGAGATGGTGCAGTTGGAGGGGGGTGCGTCAAGGAGCGGCGTCTGGGGCTTTCATTCAGGCAAGGAAGGGGGTCTCTCCTCTGAACCTCAGCTCGGTCTTTTGGGACCCAAAAGCCAACCCCAGCTCTCCTGACGAGGCAGGAGGGTCACTTTATGTCATCGCCTGTTCCCATGGCAACAGAGGCAGGACACCTCCCCCCACACCCGCCAGGTCTTGGAGGTGAGACATAGCTGAAGGAGGGCGCTAGATCCCCTGCATCTGGTTCCAGACCCGGTGCTGGGAAGCTGGTGTGTGTGCGACTGCTCCCACCAGAATTTTGCTTTCAGTCACTACGTCATACGGCCCTAATAGGAAGGCAGTCTGAGCTCTTTCACACAGCTCTGTAAAACTGGGACGGGGGCGTCCCGACCGTTCCCGATGGCTCTCTCCCTCCACCCTGCTCTATAATCTTGTCTCCTGATCGTCGTACCCCCACCCGCTGTGTGCTGCCATTGCAGCGTGGGTGCATCGCTCCTCTCCAAGATTTGGGGGCGCCGGAGGCACAGTACGCCAACAGACAGATGGGTGGGAGTGGAGACCCTTGGTTGAAAGCCCACGGAAGCTGGGCTAGAGGTCACATCACAGACTTGCTTTCACTCGCATCACCCTCCACCCTGAGATGCTGCGTCACGCGGGGAAGCAAGCCGCGCAGGGGTCCGGCTTGTGCAGGCCGGACACGAGCGCGAGTGCGTCACAGCGCGCTGCTGCAACAGCCGAGGGCCAGTCCCTGCCTCCGAAAGGCCCCTCCCGCCTGCCGAAGCCGCCCCCTCCCCGGCCGCCTGCCTGGCGCTCCCAATCCCTTCCGTACAGCTGGTGGTGGTTCGCCTCTGGGCGCAAGGTCCCATAAGTTGCGTGGCCCTAAGCAAACTGGAAGCAGGCACAGGTGCTGGCTGCTCCCACGTACCAGCCACCTGTGGCCGTGTACCCAGCGCTTCCGCAGGTGGTTCTGGAAGGACACCACCTCCTACTTTCTATAGATCTCCTGCTTGCCGCACAGCCACCCCTATCCTCTCCCGCCCCCATGCAGGTAGCGGGTCCTCAGCGCTCGGCTTCCACGCCAGTTCTGTTGCTCCCCCTTCTCTTTACTCCTCTGGGCCCTTCTCCTCAGACACAGCTGACCAGGAATTGGACCTGGCGCCCCCTGCCCACCTTGGGGCCGCACAGCTCCTGTCGGCTTTCTCAGACCTGCAAGGGTGGAGCCAGTTCACAGAGAGAGGCTTGAAGTCACTGTGGGCCAGGTAGGTTGATATCCGGCAGTCTTAGCCCCCTCCGCTGCCCAATGTTGCCCAGGAGAAGGCACAGGGCACCATGCCTGGCCCTTCCTAAACGTCCAGGCTGCGATTGGCTCTTGGGGCCTCCCGACATCCCAGGAGGGAGCCATCTCTACTCCGCCCCCAGTCGGCAGGGTTTCTCCCCACTCCCTAGACCTGAGAGGCCAGCGGACCATCCTCCCATCTTTGGTCAGCAAAGCCATACTGGCCCTGAGCAGAGACCCCAAGGGAAGAGGGCGCCTTTGCCTGGGCCTGGCTGCCACCAGATCCCCTGAAGTGCTCCTGCATACATTAACACCCTCCACAGGCACTCACGCGCACACCTGCACACCCTCACACTGCTCACATCCTTCCCTGCTCACACTCCTGCACTTATTCGGGCCCCTTCGCCCCCACTCCACAAGGAGAAACGTAGAAGTGCTCACTGGCGGTTCCAACGGCAGCTGCTGCAGGACTCGGTCACGGGAGGACCGGGATGCGGCTGTGGATGCGGAGGATGCAGTTCCAGACGCTTCGCAGCCGGGGCGGGGCGGGCGAGGGGCTGGAGCCGCGAGACCGAGGCTGCCGTTGCCATGGAGACTCCTGCTGGAGGAGGAACCTGAGCAGTCAGGCCACCCTCCCACATCAGACCTGGCCCTGGCCCCCATTCCCCTGTGCACGCACCTGACCCTCATAGACCTCACTTTATACTCACACTCCCATGCCCGTTGTACACCTCGCACATATCTCACATGCCTCACATACTTCACACACACCTCATACACACTTGTCACACATCATCACACACTTCACGAACCTCAACTCACCTCATACACTAACCACAGAAATCCACCCTTCTCCCACACCTTCACTTCTCCTCACCACAGAGGGCAGACCTGGGGACCAGCTGAACCTTTGTTCCTCCACCTGGGAATCCCTGGGTCCCCAACAGATCTGGTGGAGTGGTGAGACTACCCTCACCTCAGCCCCTGGCTTCCTACTTGTTTGGGGCAACAGGAGTCAGGCACAACTAGATTTGGCCCCCTCTCATGCAGAGGATGGTCTCACTGAGTCAACAGCTGAACCCCTGGGCTGTGATCTTTCTTGGGCTGAGTCTTGTCTTTGCTAGTCACTCTGGTGATTGATATCTGCAGGATGCCCAGGATACAGTCAGCCTCCAGCAGGTGTTTGGTGGACTGGGGACTACATTTTGAACGATGTGTCAACGGTGGAAGTGACCCTTGGGTGCTGGGCTCATAGTTGCTGGCCGGCCACCACATACCTGTTGCATGCATGCCTCGTGTGGCATCTATCAGTGGGCATCTGGATCATTACCAGTCATGTATTGCTTACAGTGCCGAGCATTCCTTTCAAGTCTTTGGTAGATATGTACTTTCGTTTCTCTTGGGTGGATGCCAAAGAAGGGAACTGCCAATTCAAATGGTAGGTTGATGTTTAGCTTTTTAAGAAAATGGTACAGTGATTTTCTACAGAGGCTGCAGCATTTTACGTTCTCACCAGAGGTGCTTGAGGGGTTCAGTTTCTTTACATTCTCTCCAGTATTTGTTATTGTTTCTTTTATTATAGTCATCCATAGTGGCTGCTAGAGCTGCCATAACCAAATTATCACAGACGAGTAGCTTAATAGAAATTTATTTTGTCCCTGTTCTGGAGGCCAAAGTCTAAGATACAGGTGTCAGCAGGTTTGGTTACTCCTGATGCAACAGGAAATAGAAACACGGAAATGACACCCAGGATTTGGGCATTGATCAGGATCTTTTCCAGAATATCAAGCCCCAATCTCGGGTGGTCTAGGGCTTACAAGAGATAAAGCAAGCAGGAAGTACAGAGGCAGAATGGCTTGGCAACTGGGGACTGCTTTATGCAATGTGCATCATAGTACCAGCTATGCATCACAGTGACTAGCTGTTTCTAAGAAACACAAGCAACCTGAACTGGAACAGGAACTGTTACCTGGGCAACTAACTAACTGAAGTATACTGCCTGGGAGGGGAGCATTTTCTGTTGCACTGAGACCTTCTCCTTCACTTGTAGATAATATCTCTTCTCTGTGCCTTGATAAAATATTTTTTCTGTGTGTCTAGACTTTCCATTGTAAGGACAGTAGTCATATTTGATTAGTGCCCACAATAATGCCCTCATATTAACTGCCCCTTTAAAAGCCCTGTCTCTTGTTAAGCATACTGGCACATGCCTGCAATTTTGGCACTGAGGCAGGAGGATCACCCAGAGTTTGAGGCCAGACTGGGCTACATAGTGAGTTCAAGGCCAGTCTGGAATACATCGCAAGACCCTGTCTCTAGATGGATAGATAGATAGATAGATAGATAGATAGATAGATAGATAGATAGACAGATAACATATCTCTAAATAAGTCACATTTTGAGGGTTACAACTTCAATACAGGACTGTGAGGGAGACAATCCAGCCCATACAACCATCCAATAGGTGTGGAGTGGTACCTTATTGTGGTTGACAACTACATTACTCTAATAACTAAAGGTGCTGAGCACATTTTCATGGGTCTGTTATCTCTTTGTATACAGTACCTTCATTGGTGAAGTGTCTATTCAAATGTTCTGAATACTTTTCAATCAGGTTGTCTTCTTAAACTGTAGGAATTTTTAATATATTCTATACCTTGGTTGTTTCCTCTCATTGTAAAATAACTGGTAGACAAATATTATATGTTATAAAGGTATACGGGAGACTTTGATATACATACATATTGTGTAATGATCATTAAAGTCTAATTAATTGACATACACATCACATCTACATTGTACATTGATCCCCAGAATTTGTGTACCTTATCGCTTGCAGTTTGTACCCTGAGACAACATACCATTTCCTCACTCTCTGGCCCTGCTCAGCAGCCACTCTTCCACTTTCTCCCTCCAAGCCCAATGATTTTAGATTTCACATGTAAGTGAGATTCTGCAGTGTTTCTCTCCTTG